CGCACACACACACAGAGAAAGAGAGAGAGACACAGACACACACACATGTAATTCTACACTTTGGTTTCAATGTACATATCAGATAAAAACTTTGACCGTGCATTTCAACGGCAGTTGCAATGGATATTCACTTAGATGTGTCTCCATGGCAACACATTTTCCCCAGGCCTGAAAGTTTCCCAGCAGTGATCAAGGTGCCCAGAAAAGTGCTCATACACACACACACACACACACACACACACACACACACACACACACACACACACACACACACAGACAGTCTGTCTCATACCATCTTTCATTTACGCAAGCACTAATTTTGATAATTTCAAAGATTTTCTGACAAAATCAGCACAGAAAATGCAGTCAACAGATTTCATTTTGGTCTGTTTATGGGTCAGTTACAAACATCAATGCAATATTTACAAAGAATGCTATTCTAAATTGGTCCTTCACTCCAGTTAAGTGCATTTAAAAGGCACTTTTACTTGCTGGAATTTCTAGCTGAAATCACCTTACTGTGGTAATGTAGCTGTGTTTGAAACAAGCTGGTCATTAGCTGGTTATTGTAGTTAACTAGCTGGACTACTGAATTTTTAGACCATCTTGGTCAAGGGTTATGCTGGAGATACCAGTTCATACCAGCTAACAGATGTTTTTTTTTTTAAATGGTAGCCAGTTAGTTGCTGGGTCAACCTCAGATAAGCCCCCAATTACTGGTAGTCCAATTTGGTCAGCCACCTAAACCCATTTGGTTTAGCTGATTTGATTGTGGGGGAGAAAGGGGAAAGGGAAACATGTGGTGCATTCTGTCGAGTCAGCTGGGGGAGGTGAAGCTGCCCCTCTATTTGTTTGGGGTCTGCTGTACATGACATTTCACATTGTTCTCTCTGTTGTTACCCTAAAGGCCTGTTCACACCAGCACTGAAACCTGAGGTACCCCAGTGGTTAGTTTATTTGAGTTAAATACCCCTTCCAAGGTACGTTGAAATATGTGTACCAAACAGGCAATATTTAAACCAGCAGTCTGTTGATGCCCAGCGTTGAGATGTATTTTGATTCATGTGGTCCCAGAAAGATTTAATCTGGGGCAGCAGGACAAGGTCAAAATGGGTAGGTGATTGGGTGTTGATGGTAAGGTAAAAGTCTTTTGATTTATTAGACCAATACACTTATGATTCAGGTCAAGTTGTTAAACTGGATTAGGGGTTGATTGCAGGGTAGAGGTCCTTTGATTTATAAACCAAAAATACACTCAGATTTTACACTTACAACTGAACAAGCCTTTATGTGATCCCTATATTTTAGCTTTCATACTGCAAAACAGCAATTTTTGATGAACCCAATTCCCTATGGACCAGTTACAATGACTGTCATTATCGTTTTGCCTGTTTGTGATGAACATGAGCACCTCAACTAGCACTTTTTTGAACATGCAGAGCAGTGATTTCTGACTGTTTAAACTCATTATGCAGTTACTCACTTAGACACTGTTTGAATGCAGTGGGGACTACACTTTATCTTTTATTGCTTTCAGTATTGAACCCATAGACATCTATGAATGGGTTCACTGATGCACATGTAATAGTACTAAACCTTGGGCAGCATGCCTGTTTGAGTGCATGACAGCTGCACTGTATTAATTAAAGAGAAGTAACACAATTATCAAGGCCCCATTTACTTTAGTAACTGCTATTAGTACATTCCTAATAAACATTCATTTTCTGTTCTTTTAATGCAAGCTTTATATATTTTGTGGTGTGCTTGTAAATTTGCTCTGCACTATACAATACACATTTCAAATAAAGTTTCAAATGTTGTATTACACATGAGCCTGCCACAACATATTACTTTGTTTGGTAACATTTTCTGAAGCCCGTATTTATAATACATTATAAGGGTATTTTTTAAGGCATTATAATGAATGCATAATGTATAATAAAAAACATATAATATGTTGTATCATCTCATGATTAATCATTACAACAGTTTTAATACATTATAATATTTATTTATTTGTGGTTATAGCTTTTAAGAGTATGATGATTTATAACACACAATGAACACAATGCATCCACTTAACTTACAATGGATTATATTTCCCATAGTTATAATGAATTATAAATCTAATTTCTTGCCATTGTTAACTTATTACTATACTTAAAGCAGACAAAGACCACTTATAAATAATAAAAACAACAACAACAATAATAATAATAACAATATTTTTTCTTAAACAGACAGATATTGTATGGACAGATATTTGATCGGATTAATGTGTTGTATGGAACATTTGCTTTTAACCATATTTAATGTAATATCAGTAATATATTGTGCAGATCTTAAATAAATAATGCCAAGATATGAGACTTATAATCCATTATAAATTAAGTGGATTTAAAATGGTGTTCATTGCGTGTTATAAATGATCATACTCATAAAAGTTATAACCACAAATAAGTATGTCTTGTAGTGTATTATAATTTTTGTTATGATTATTTATGAGATGAAACAACATATTATAATTTTTTTTTATAATCCATTATGCATTCATTATAATGCCTTAAGAATACCCTTATACTGTGTTATAAATACGGGCTTCATAGAAAGTGTTACCCTTTGTTTCAGGTAGAAAGGCAAGATAGTTTTCATCTAAAAATCTTAATCATTGAAAATGAATCTTTGATGTGGTTATGATTTGGATGTACACACACTCTTATCCACCTTCCCATCTGTCTGTCCGCCCAAGCATGATACTAACAACCTTTGAGTGCCAAGAAATTCAGGTGGTCCGGATGGCATGATACTGCAAAGTCACTTGGGTGGCAACTTTAAGAAGCTTGGTGATTAAATTACTGTACATCGAAACTCGTGCAGACTACTGTACATTGAGGATGATACTGTAAATTTACACATTATAAATATGACTTTTATTCAAATTATCCATAAAACCACTGTTTACAGAATGTGTCTAGTTGACAGAATGTTTAAAGTTCACAGACAATACAACGTGGCTTTTTTATCAGTTCCCAATTCCCAGTATGGTATAACTTAATTCAAATTGAAAACAAAGTCAAAATGAGTATAACAGAGGCCAGCTAAGAGCTGGGCATGTAAACCTAAAGCCTGGCATCAAGAGGAATGCTAGACACTAGAGGCTGCAGTCTTTAGTCTCTTTCTTGTTAGAGCACCTACCTCCTCTGCTGGTGGTTTAATAGGGTCGAACCCTGATCGGGCAGGCTGAGCGGAACCATTTGCATGAGCATTAAACATTTTTTTTAGATTCTTTTTTATTTTTACAAAAATAAATATGGCAAAAAGTGTTATATGATATGTTTAGTCAACTCTAACAAAACTTTCGGTCTAATTTAATTTGAATTTAGAATTGTAATATAATAACTTCCTCAACACCACTGTTGTTAAAGCAGCAGCTGTGATTTGTAATTATGTTCTGTCAGCTGTGTTGCAGTGGGACATGACCAGGGGCAATCATTAAGATGAGCAGCATCTCTTCTGTGTAAAGATCACACAGAGCTCTTTTCACTGGGTGGGAAAAACACTGCAGACAGTTTGATAAGGCTACACTGTTCTGAATAAAAAAAATTTTAAAAAAGAAAGACAAATTTTGATATCTATCTACACATCCTCCCTTCACAGATTTACTCTTTGTTATTGTGGGTATGCTTTTGTTTAATGTATCTGCACATTTGTACTTTTTTGTAGTTCTTCTTATTCTCAATAGTAATTTTTATTGAATAAGTATAATATTCACCTTACTGTAATAAAGTATATATGTACGTTTTCAATTAAAGGTAATATAATGTCTCATTTAAATATGAATACAGTAAACACAGTACAACTAAGACTGGTGTACCGTTATCAGTGTTGGGAAAAGTTACTTTTAAAAGTAATGCATTACAATATTGTGTTACTCCATAAAAAAGTAACTAATTATGTTACTTAGTTACTTTTTATGGAAAGTAATGTGTTACGTTACATTTGCATTACTTTTAAAATCTGGACAGGGCTTTCTTCTTTGTTTTTAAAATGAAAAAGTTCTATTTTTGGCAAATATAAAAGCCTTTTCACACCAAAAGTGAAATGAATAAGCCTCAGGCTGAAGGGAAAGTAAATTTACGTCCGTACAGTAGAATGCAGAAGAAATTTAAGCACTTCAGCAATAAAAAAAGACAAATGTTTGTCTAGAGTAATTTTTGCTTATTAGTACGGTTGAACTGGATCATCGAAGGTCAGAAGCAAAGACATTGGTTAATAGAATGGGATTAAATACATAAAGGATATTTGTGTTGTTTAACATTTAATTATTGCAGGTTTGCGTCATATTCTGAGTTGTATTATTTTTATTCATTTTGAGGAATACTGGATCTGTTTTTTTTTTTATGAATGAGATGAATTAATGCATATTCATATTTATTTTAGAACTACAGTAACATCTTCTGATTTCTCTCAACATGGGGACAGGAGAGCTGTCAAGCAATAAATTGGAAAAAAAAAGTAACTTGCATTACTTATTTGAAAAAGTAACTCAGATATTGTCTTGTAAATTAAAAAGTAATGTGTTACTTTACTAGTTACTTGAAAAAAGTAATCTGATTACGTAACTTACGTTACTTGTAATGCGTTACCCCCAATACTGACCATTATACATAAATAGTTTAACATTAAAAATTGACATTCACGCTTTACCTTTTTCATGCCTGTTATTCCATTCATAGCCATGAAGATACAAAAAATAGAGACACACACACACACATGGGTAGCAACTGGGACTGGCTTTGCTTCCCAATAAACACTGGTGGGAGATGTTAACATGGTGATACCACCATGTGTGCTTTCCTCCTCCCTCCAAACCCATCACCCTCCTTATTTTAGCGACCAGCTTCTGTTGCTCTCTCTCTCTCTCGCTCCCTCTCTTGGCCACTCCCCCTTTCCAGTTTCTCACTCTTTATTTGTTACTACCATCACTGTGAATAGGAGACTATAGAGAGTGGAGGGGATCTCCTTTGGATGGATGAAACAAGGACTTATTGAGTACTTAAGTTTTAAGAAGAGACAACAAGAGGGATACGCTGATTTTTTTGAGAGGGTAATGAATGAAGACACTCAGTCCCATCTCAGGATGGAGGCTACAGACAAACTCAACGGGCTTGGAGGGAGGAGGAGGCGGCCAAAGAAGGTAAACATGGACTTCACTTTAAGGACCCGCTCTGTCTTAATGTAGTATCAGAGGATCTAAGTGTTTGTGGAAGTTCCTGATGTGATGTCGTTTATGTTAAAATTCCAGTATTTATTAAATACAGTTTATTTGATAAGTGTATGTCTTAAATACAGTTTGGAATTGAGTGAGTTGTAGTTGTTGATGATTTACTTTAAATAAACTGTGCTTAGATACCCAAGCATTATAGTAGATTTGAAAAACAAAATAAAGGTGTTAGTGTTTTTTGTAACTGCAGAAAAACTCTCTTGGCAACTGTGCAACACTGCTATAATTTTCAAGAGGTTGGTGGATGGACAGGTGGCAAGTCTTGTGTATGTTTATAGTGTGTGTTTTTTTTTTTGCCTTGGGTTGGTTCCTTGATTTTGCAAGGCATGCTGATGGTTTTGTTTTTACGAGGTCTCTGTGTGTTGAGGTAAAGATGGGCGTGTGTGTTCAGGAGAAGTGCTGAGCAGGTTTCTTCTCGGTTTTTATTGTTACGTTTACTTCTGGAAATCTCTCTCTTGCTCCACACCTTGAGAAGTCTGTACAAGGACTGTTCATCTGCTGATTACAGTGTTTTGAATGACAGGTGCCCACCCATTCTATCTTTTTTTCTATTGTTTGCTCCATTGCTGTTTTCCTTTGAATCAGGTTCATGCATAGTCACACTTTCAAAACATTTGATTTCCAAACTATACAGTACAGATGTTGTATTACTACTCACAGCGAATATATACAAAAAACAATATATACACAAAATGGTCAAAAATACAACATACAGCACAAACGGAAGATCTAATAGTGTAGAATTAAGACTGTTGTGAGTGACTGTGTGCAACTGTTGTGAGTGTAATAATATCAAAAGCATTAAGTATCTTTTGCTGTAAAATACCTTTGTTCCATGTGTCTGACGTTGAGAGAGGGGTGGGTCCGCTGCCCTTTGTGTGTACGCTTGAGTATGCTCTACACATATCTGTGAAGAAACAATATTATGGTCTACCACAATATTTTTAGGGAACCCTAAAATGGATGTGTGTGTGTGTGTGTGTGTGTGTGTGTGTGTGTGTTTGTGTTTGTCTCCACAAGTGCAATCTACATTGTGGGCACCAATCGATAGTCCTCATGAGGAAAATGGCTAAATAAACATACTAAATAATGTTAAAATAATACAAATAATTAAAAAATGCAAAGGGTGTTTGTTAGGGTTAGAAGATCGAAAATATAATTTTCTCAGTATAAAAACAATACAAGTCAATGGAATGTTTTCACCATGACAGAAAAAAAATGTGTGTGGTTCCAAACGAGAGAACATACTGTTGCTGCCACTTAAGTGCATAAAGTCTCAGCCATTCTTGGCATTAAACTGAAAATGAGCGATTATGATAAAACTCTGTTATCTCTAAACACTATTTTTAACCTCCCTCAACAGTTCTAATAATAATAATAAAAAACAAGCAGAGCAACTAGAGCTTTGTAAAAGGAGAAAAAGAACTGTGATTTTAATAATTTTCTGCTGCCCACATAACTTTATTATATTATGTAAAAACTAATATGATGAGAGAAAGCTTATAAGATATAGGCACATATAATGAATTAAGTAAATGGTTAATTTACAACTAGTTCTGCTTCAGAACTCATATTTTGCATTGGACATCAAATATTGATCCAAAACAGTATCAACATTCAAAAGTAAACTTACCAACAAACAAAAAAATTAAATAACACTATAATTAAACATTGCAATGTAATAATATCACCATAAACTACATATGCACAAATATGGACATGGCTGATTACGGTGTTAAGGATTTTGATTTCAAAACCTCTCTAATTTGGTTTCGTGTTCTCAGCTGCCAATTATTTATTGCACAAACTTTTCAGTGCTGCTTGGAGTTTTATTGGATTCACATATTTTAACATTAACAAGTGTAAAAATGTAAAATGTAATCTTTAAGAAAAAAATGTAATCATGTGTATCTTATCTAATAATATAAACTGACTAAAAATAAAAACTGGTAAAATAATATACAGTGGGTACGGAAAGTATTCAGACCCCCTTAAATTTGTCACTTTTTGTTATATTGCAGCCATTTGCTAAAATCATTTAATGAAAAATTATGGGCACTCTGATACAGCTTAAGTATATTCACAGGAATTTTGTTTTGTAATATATGCTGCTGGAAAACTGTCAGAAAGGTCTTTGAGCTGAATTAGCAGCAATGCAGCAATGTGGTTTGGCTTTCATGGTGGAACTCAGGAAGGCAATGAGGGATCATGCAAGATCAATTATGTTTGCATTATTGATAGCTTATGTCTCCCCTTCTAACCCAGTCCCACTCGGGTGGTGGAAGGGGGATGTAGGGTGATTGAAGTTTAATCTAAGCAGGGATTTGTTGACCAGGCATCTGTTTCTCTGCTGACTGTACTAATGAGTAAGCCAGACAGAATTTTTTGACTGATTTTCTGTGGTGCTTTTGGGGGTAAATCTTCTGTGAAATATTAAAATGTGTTAAGCAGAGATGACAATACTATAGCTAAAAGGTCCAAACTACCCCCCCCCCCCCCCCCTTTTTTTTTATGAAAAAAAAGGGGGGGGGGGGGGACGT